CGCCAGGAGCGGAGCTTAATCGAAAGCGTTCATTGCTTTAATCTCGGAACGGCGCGGGCGAGGGGCTGTGCGGTTCCCACCAGTTCAGGGGCGAAGCCGGGCGGCGTGGCCGTGACCGCGCCGAACGGGGACAGAGCAGGGGCTGGGGACAGAGCAGGGGGCCCCGGAAGGTGTCGGGTGCGGCCCAGCGGCCCCTGTCCTGCAGAGAGCCCGAGCCCTGGGGAGGCTCAGCGGTGTCTCGGCTCTTGGAGAAGAACCCCGGAACGGTTTGGGGGGGAAGGGACCTTTGAAGGTCACCTAGCCCAGCCCCCCTGCAGGGAGCAGGGACATCCGCAGCTAGAGCAGGCTGAAGAACCTTTTGAGTGGTGGTGGTTTCAGTTTGGATAGGGGCTTTTAATCTTGGTTCAAGAGGTGCACAAGCTGGCATTTGTACAGCACTTGGATGACATGCAAAGCTCATCAGATGCCCGTGTTCATCGGGCATCAAGGAACCTGCCTCTGGCTTGCCAAAGGGTGTTGATAAGTTATCTTGAGAAGATAACCATCCTAATAATAGGTTGTTTTTTCCACTGATAGGGGCAGGCAGGAACACAAGGCATGTGGGTAAAGAGCAAGAGGAGTCTGGCTGTGGGTGACTGCTAGTTATCGAGGTGTGACTCATGGTTAGAGGGACCTGCTCTGGTTTATTCTTTCCCCTTGTATCTCCAGGCAAGTGGCAACGTGCTGAGTAGTTATGGAGCTTGGCTGTGTCGTGGCATGAGCTTGCAGATAGCTTCCTGCCCTGTTGTTTTGTGGCAGGGCTGAGAACAGTTCTGAGCCAATTGCTGTCAATGCCAAGGGTGCCTGTGACAGACAGTGAGTGTGCAGAGTGGCTCCAGAGCTGTCTGCTGCCATGGGAGAGCTTGCCATGCTGCACTCAGCCTGCGCAGGGGGGTGACAGGTCTCTGTGCAAGACAACCTGAGTCTCGAGTACCTGCTCCTGGGGCACACTGAGATTTCTTCCAGGGAGGACAATACTCAGCTATTTTACCTGGCTCTCTTTTCAGCAAAGAATTGAGATCCACAAGCTTCGCCAAGGTGAGAACCTGATCCTGGGATTCAGCATTGGAGGTGGCATCGATCAGGATCCTACTCAGAACCCTTTCTCTGAAGACAAGACTGACAAGGTCAGATGCTCTTTGCAAAGGGCTGAGCATATCCAGCTGCCCCAGCAAGCTCAGCTCCCATCTGAGTTCTGTCCTCTCCCCTAGCTGACTGCCCAGACTACTCTGTTGCCACATCACCATCTGCAGACTAAGCTTAACTCTCCACTTTTTCTATTTTCCAGCATTGCACAAAACTGTTTTTAACCAGAATCTCACAGTACACTACAAAGTATTTTTACATCATCACTAGAATGGCCCTTGAGTATTTAGTGCTCCCATATTTAGGGAGTGAACACTTAATAACTTTTTTTCCCCCCCCAGGGTATCTATGTAACAAGGGTGACTGAAGGAGGCCCAGCAGAAGTTGCAGGACTTCAGATTGGAGATAAGATCATGCAGGTAAACACCAAGATAAGCCAAGTGCTTATGCAGTACTAGGTGCACACCACAGAGAAGTCTCCACTGGGAAAATACCATCTTCTGGGGACTTTCCAGGACAGTTTGTGGGGCTGATAAATTAAACTGAGCTGTGGCCCAAGTGTGTATGTGCTACATAACCTGTGAGTCCCTGGGCCTGCCTCATTTCATGGCTTTCCCCTAGGTGAATGGCTGGGATATGACCATGGTGACCCACGACCAAGCTAGGAAGAGGCTGACCAAAAGGAATGAAGAAGTGGTACGGCTGCTGGTGACCAGGCAATCTCTGCAGAAGGCTGTGCAACAATCCATGATGTCCTAATCAATCACCAAGTTGGGGAAGGGTTGGGGAGGGGGAGAGAGAGACTGACATGAAGCAAGGAAGCAAATCCTAGACCTGCACAGGTTTGCTGAAGGATCCCATGGTCCTAACTGTGGTAAACACTTTTATTTTTCCTTCCTCTAGTATAACTGGCAGTAGTAAAACTCTAGTCCCCTCAGCAGAGTGCATCTCTAAAGTCTTCCCTGCAGGTACATGGTAAGACTTTACTGTAGTCATGGCTTCCAGGAGGACAGGACAAGCCCTCATTATCTAAGGAAGCAACTGGAAATGCCTTAATTTTGACAAGATTCTTTTGTAGCACAAAAGCTTCCTATTTTAAGAAGAAATGTGGCTTCTGCTGTGGAAGATAAGAGGGCTTGCTGTGCTGAGGCTTTTAGAAGCCCCTGTCCCCCATGCTATCAGGCTGGAGTGCCAGACTGCTGAGCTGCACACTGCTGTGGGCAGCAGCACTGGACTAACCCCACAGCGTGTGCTCACCAGACAGCTGAAGGGTTTGGGGCACAAGGCTTTACTGCAGATACCCCCTGCACAAAGCAGCCTCTTCAGACAACAAACCAACCACTGAGTAACACAGAAGTGTTAGATGTGAAGTACACTAAAAGTTCATTGACACTACAGCTCAACTTCATTGTCAGAGTCAAACCTTCATTCTTGTTCCCAAATAATGCATTGACTTGTAGAATGGTTTAGGTTGGAAGGAACCCTGGAGACCATCTCATCCAACCTCCCTGCCATGGGCAGGGACACCTCTCAACTAGACCAGGTTGCTCAAGGCCTCATCCAGCCTGGCCTTGAGCACCTCCAGGGAGAGGCATCCACAGCCTCTCTGGGCAGTCTACTCCAGAGTGTTGCCACCCTTGTACTGAAGAACTTCTTCCTAAGATCTAGTCTAGCTTCTGCATAATATCAAACAAATCAGATTTAAAGGGAAGGAATATAGAGCAGGAAAACAACCATCATTGCTGAACTTACTAGAAGAGCTGTTCACAACTGTAGAGCCTTCTGTTCTTCATTCCATTTCTGTCAGACTGGGAAGGGGAAGGGTGGATTTTGGTCTGTCTTCTAGAAGACTTTGATTAAATCACTGATTTATTGAATGGAGATGAATATGCCAGTAACTTGCAAAAGTGCCTCTTGACCAAACTTAAACTTCTGGTAAGATACCAAGTTGTTTAAATCAACATGCCACAGGATTTAAGATTCTTGCTGCAACACTAAGTTAATTATCTCGTGTCCTAGTGGTTTGTTAACCAGCTAGCTTTACAGTTATGCAAAAACTGGAGTTGTTAATTAATCCCCTTCAGTTGATTTATACATATCTCTACTTTCCTTAAGCAGGTAAGCTGTTGTAAATAGAACACGAGGAGGTGGCAGACTAACTTATTCAGGACATTACTGCTGTGCTGTGTGTGTGTTGTGAGGAGTGCATCTCAGACTGTTCTGTAGGCACCCCCAGATGCCTATTTACCCTTTTTGTATCTATGAAATCACTACAACACTGCTTTTGAATTTTTGTAACTTAAAAATTCAGTGGTAAATTTTAAGGCTTTCAAGCTGAAGTTATTTTTGTTACTATAAAGATACACTGCTATTTGTACTGCTCTTTCACTTGATTTTACACACAATAAAACAAAGTTTGATTTCCTGAGCTGTTTCTCCTTACATTTAAGAATGCCACATCCCTTGAATGCCTCCAGCTGAGACCTTTATTCCAGCTCAGTGCAGATGGTGGACCACACCAAGACAATGCAGTCTGAGGTTAGTAAAGTCTGATTTCACTGGTGGGTATTTGCAGTGTTCATGAGCTGTCAGACTTCCCCTGGTCTCTAGCAGGGGGAGAAGGGGTTCTACTTTTCCTTAGGCTGACACCTAGTATGACATTAGCTTTAGAGCAGTCAAGTATTGTTTGAGTACATAATGCTTACCTTCAAGTAACTCAAGGCCTTGATCTCTACCTAGAACTTACCACATGTACTTAGAAAGTTGCCCAGGAACAAAACCACACACACAAACTTTGATCAGGGGGCTGTTAAAGAGATGATGGCTGTGGATCATGTTGATAAACCTTTAATCTTTACCACCCACTGTTTAGAATTCCTGTCAGCAGCACTGAGCAAAATGAAGTTGGTGCTTTAGTAGTCAGATAAATCTGAGCACTTGGTGTCTTAGCACCTTTGAAAGAGCTTTTAGTGAAATAAGAATAGTTTCTGCTGTGTCACAGGGGTTTTTATTAATAAAGAGTTCAGGCTCTAATATTTGTGTATTTGCTACCAACCTCATTAGTCTTTTATTCAACCAATGTGAGCAGTGTTGTATTGTGATCTGTTTGTGAAGAGTGAGCAGCAGCCCCACTTAAATCCACAGACAGTCTTCAGTCATGACATTAAGATCTTAAGTGGTTGCTTAAATGTGATCTCAGTTTTTTGGGAACCAGAACTCTGGTCTTATTGCTTCACTTTCACTCAAAAAGACATCTGGTCTTTCCCTTTCCTGTTGTTAACTGAAGAGAGCTACGTGTTGCTTGGACAGCTCATGCCAAGCTGCCTTTGCAGCTCCAACAGGCATGAGTCTTCCACTGGCAACTGGTGGCTAGACAGCTTGCTGTCCTTTAAGGCATCTGGCAATTGTTATTTGGCACAGCAACAGTTTGTATTCCATACCAGAGAGGACCAAAGTATAAACAGGTCAGAAGCAGCATTTCTGGTAACTGGCAGTAGGCATCTTGATAGTCCTTAGCCAGGGTTAGGGAAAGTTCAATGTAAAGTTCTTGTCTTCAGGAGTGCTGCTATTCACAAGGTTCATACCCTCGTCTCCTGTAAAGGCAGTAGTGCTGGACCATAAAAACAACATCAAAGATGATGGAGAAGACACCCAGGCCAAACTTGGTTGGATCTCCAAAGATTAACTTCCACTGATCTGTCAAACACAAAATTAAGAGAGTTAAGACTAACTCCTCTAGTGCAGTCTTGTCTCAAGACTAGAAGCTCAGGATAACATACATATTAATTTCATGTTTGTTACCTGGACACTTTTAAGACTGACTCTAGCATATAACTTATGCAAAGGTATTTAATAAGTGTTCTGAAGAAACCACAGGAACAGTTATTTCATTTTCTGTCTCAAAGGAACATGAAGAGATTCTTTATTCTTAGTGTAAGAACAGCTACCCATGCTAGAGCACAATCATCATTCTCCTAAGATAACCAGGTAGGTTATATCTACTTTGTAGCATGATTCTCCTACCCTGTTAAGAAAGCACATACATACTAGAGAATTTCATGTTTGTTACCTGGACTCCTTAGACTCACTTTTAAGACTGACTCTAGCATAAAACTTATGCAAAGGTATTTAATAAGTGTTCTGAAGAAACCACAGGAACAGTTATTTCATTTTCTGTCTCAAAGGAACATGAAGAGATTCTTTATTCTTAGTGTAAGAACAGCTACCCATGCTAGAGCACAATCATCATTCTCCTAAGATAACCAGGTAGGTTATATCTACTTTGTAGCATGATTCTCCTACCCTGTTAAGAAAGCTCCTGCCACCTCAGTTCCAGCCTTACCATTGTTGTATGACTGCAAAAACATCTGAAGAAGGCTGAAGCTTCCACCAGTGAAATCTAGTAACACATTTCCAATGCTCCACCCCTCAGTACTCTTCCGACGGAAATTCATGTACGCCTGGGAGTGTAACAAGAAGTCAGTCAGCATGTCATGGATGAGCCTTTCTCAGGTTGACAGGAGTGTAACCACACTGGCTGTGTCACTAAAAGACTTAATTACTGCTGCTTTAGTCAGACTTTCTAGAGCATGTGCTACAGGTTGACAGAAATACCACATAAAAGCAGAAACGTTCAGATTTACCTGTGGAAAATACTTTATCAGTGTGACTGCTAACTTAATGTAAGAGAAGCAGAATAGGAACTGCAGCCACGTCATTTCCTCAGCTGCAGCAAGAAACAGTGTGGTAAATGTGAAGATCCATGCAAGTGCCAGCAGTCCAACAACAACTTTGGATACTTTCTGACCTGCTCTCTGAAAGAGAAAGGCAGATACAATTAAACTGACCTCAGCCACACTTCCCCAGACACTCTAAGACACAGAATATGCTCAGGACTGCACAAGGTTACAGTCCCAACCTGCTGTTGTACCAGTGAGGCTCATACCACAGGGGAATTTTTAAGATTAGGTGAGTGCTACAGCAACCAGGTGTAGGTTTGCAGGAGCTGCTGAGCAATATTCATCATCAGTCATCTGGAACACTTGCCCATGAGCAAGTGGGAAGCAGTGTTGTGGGAGTATTCTTCAGTATTTATGAAGCCTGTTATCACTGCCACACCAGTAACAACCCTGAGTTCAGTCTGATGATATCAAGAGCTCCTATATAGGCAAAAGGCTGATAATATTATGGTAAGAAGTTCATGGTTGCATTCTAATTCTTTACATTTATCTCCTGGCAGGGGTGACAAATGGGCTGTTCCAGTTTTAGGATTAGCATCACCAAAGGAAGCACCCCAAGACATAAATAGATACCAGCTAGAGAAGTCTGGCTGTTCAGATTAGAGGCTTTTTCCACA